GGGCTGCTGACTGCTCGCCCTCCACCCCCCGCCTGTCCACACACAGTCACCCCAACACAGCCCACCCCACAGCCCCCGGGGAGGCCTGGGTGCAACCAGGGCCCCAGCTTTGAGGACGCAGAGCCGGGTTCAGACCTGGGTCCTCCTCCTCCCCAGTGACGTCACCCTGGACAAGCCGTGGGACTCTCAGGCCTCCCCAGTCTCCCCAGCTGCACAGTGGGGGTCGTTCTGGCATCTGCTTCCTAAGGACGTCATCAGGTGTACAGACCTGTCAGTGCGTGCAGTGCCTGTCAACCCATGGGCTGCTGTCACATGTGGCTCGTGCACAGACCTAGCAGCAGAAGGATGACACAAGGGCTGGGTGTACAGAGAACGGAGCCACACAGGCCTGGGTCTGCTCTGGGGTCTGGGGAGTCACTTCCCCTCCCGCCTGTTCCTGGTCCCCCCGGGGAGGGTTGAAATGAAGTGATACTCAGACATCGTCCCCCCAGCATACAACCTCCCGGCTCCTCCTATTCTGTTTAGACTCAGGTCCAAGTGCTCATCTCAGCCTAGGTGGGAGGCAGCCCCCACAGTGGCTCCCAGCACTCTGTGAGTCTCTCTTTCTGACTCTCTCTGCATCTCCTCTCTGTCTCTGTCTATCTGTCTCTCTCTCTGTCTCTGGGATCCACTGTTCTGGAGAAGCAAGATCAGATATTATGAGCTGCCCTATGAGGCCCCAGCTCAAAGAACTGACAGAAGGTCACTACCCACAGACGGTAAAGATCTGGGACTCCCCCCCATCCAAATGGAATCCTGCCAATGCCCCGTGAATGATCTCAGAGGCAGACCCTGCCCCAGTTGAGCCTCAGTTGAGACCACAGCCTCAGGCTCCTGGGAGACCTTGAGGCAGGGGCTCCCAGCTGAGGAGCCTGGATCCTGGTACAGAAGCTGTGAGATGGTCAATGTTCTTGTAAGCACTAAGTTAGGGCAGTGCTGTCACACAGCATAGGCAGCCAGTTCCTCCCTCCAGGCCCGGGCCTGGCCCTGCCCTCCTCCTTCCTTCCCAGACCTTGTCCTCTGCAGGCTGCTCTGGGGATGGCCTGGCCCAGGCAGCCCCCTGGGCACCTTGGGGACCCCCTGCCCACCAGCCTGGCATCTCTCCCCCTCCCCATGCTATGGGCCCTGCGTGCGGCTAGGGGACTGGATGTCCCTGCCCCACGGCAGAGCCTCCTCCACCCCTTTCTTCTTTCCCCCATCACTTCCCCAGGGTAGGCTCCCCTTCTGACCCCCAGCCGGGCAGTCAGAGTGTGTGTGTGTGTGTGTGTGTGAGTGTGTGAGTGTGCCCACGTGGCGACATGGCCATTAAAACACAGATGGAACAAAACCAAATGCAGATGCTGCAGGCAGACCCAGCCTGGGGGACAAACTGAATCAGGATGTCGTGTGACGTGTTTCATCATGTGGAAATTAATAAAGAAACCTTAACTAAACTGGGTGGGGAGGGCCTGCAGGGGGAGCTCTCATACCCCATTACACACATCAATCGCACAGAACAGGAAGAGACACACACTTGCATCTTGGACAGGAAGTAAAACTACTTTACTACAGAAGGAAGATTTCTCTGCCGACCTAGCAACAGCCCAGCCAATCAGAAACCCAGCAGCCCAGCCAATCAGAAACACTGCAGCCCAGCCAATCAGAAATGCCACAACCTAGCCAATCAGAAACGCTGCAGCCCAGCCAATTAGAAACACTGCAGCCCAGCCAATGAGAAGCTGTTGCTGCCCTGGTCTGATCCTCTCCCCAGCAGACTTTCCTTTAGAGCAGCCCCGCCCTCTGCCCCTTTTCTCTATAAAAGCAGCTCCCTCCCGTGTTCTCCAGATTTGCTTATGGCTCACGGTAGTTTGCGTATCTGAATTGCAATTCTTTTGGCCGTTCCCAAATGAATTCATTTTGAGGCTCTGCAAGTCAACGGTCAGGACCTCTGAAAGATTTAAGGTGTGCCAAGTAGATTTTCGGGCTGTCCCAGAGGGTTCTAGGCTGCTTGAGACACAGTCGGTCAGCAAGCTCGTGACCCCAAAACTCTCATAATCAAATCTGGAGAAAGAGGCAGTTTCCTAAGGAACTGTGGATGTGGCTTTTGGCACCTGGAGTAAATCAGAACCAGGTACATAGAAAACCCACAAAGCACTTGAAAGAGCTGTGTTGGCAAAAGCAGTGACTGGGTGGTGCAAAGAGGAGAAAGGCTCTGATTTCCACAAGGGATCAGGTGCAGGTCCCAGCACCTCCTTCAGTGGTGGCCAGAGCGAGTGAGGGGCACGTGGGAAAGGAAGGGGGTCTCAGAGGACAGAGCCAAGAGGTCAATGGACCATGACCCCAACATAAACTTCTGGGAACACCCCACCCCCAGAGTAACGAGACCCGGCAGTGTTGTCCCAGCGGGACTGCAGAACTGCCATGGGCCGCGGCTGCTGTGTCCCCCATTCTTCTTTCTCATGCAGGGCGTGTCGAAGTCATTTCGCTCTCTGTCCCACCGTGGGGGGTGAGCATGTGGGAGTCCGATGACTTCGCATTTAGTTCAAAGGCGTGCAATCTAGAGGAGCCGCTGAAGGATGTAGACCCCAGGCCCCCGATTCAAGCCCGCTGCCCTGATCTGAGGAGGCTTGGGGGAGCTGAGACGGAAGGTGGGGTGAAGACACGACCCGCAGAGGTGGCTTGAAGGATTGTGGCCGAGAGTGAGAGCTGGTGCAGACTGTGCGTGGGGGCTGGCCCGTCCCCCTTCCTGCACCCGCGCCCTTAGCCGAGGGCTTCCCACTGGAGAAGCGAAGTGCATCTCCCGGCCTCCTGCCTTTGGGTTTGGCACTGTGACTTGACTCAGAGACGAGGCGAAAATGACAGTGCGCCTGTTCTGAGCCTTTAAAGGACTCGAGTTTCTTCCTGACCTGCTGTGCCTTCATCATTGCTGTGAGATGAACATGTCTTGGTTAGCCCACCGGGTAAAGGATGAGGGACGTGTGGAGCAGAGCCACCTCTAATGAGCCAGCCCCAACCAACCCACCTCCTGGTTGCACCTCCAACCCAAACTGCAAGAGCAAACCCAGCGGAGATCGGCAGAGCTGCCCAACAGAGACCCACCTACATCAGCCGGTCCCAAGCTGACACCCAGATGGGAGAGCTAAGTGACCTTGTGTTACTTTATGGCTCAGAGGCTTTGGGGTTGTCTGTTACACGGTTGTGGCTGACTGATTCCATCCTGTTATTTTCTCCTTAGATGATCTCATCCGTGCTGTGACGTCCATTACCAAATACTCCAGAGTGTCTCTCTGCCACCTAGATCCCCGCTCTGAACTCCAGCTCCTACAAGACACTCCAACAGGGGGCCCTGGAGCTCCTCCAACCTCAGCCCCAGCCCTGCTCTTCTGGGGTTCCCTCTCCTGGGACTGAACCACCTCTCTCGCCTGCCTTTCCCACCATGACGTCGCCCTTCCGCATGGCCCCTGAGTCCACGTGCTTCCCTCCGTCTCCAACACTCTGGGGTTCAAAGGTAGTTTCCTCTTCCCGGGGATGTCCTGCTCCCCCAGCCCCACCATAACTTACTTAACTCCCACCACTCTCCGTTTCTCAGCTCAAATGCCGCTTCCTCCAAGAAGCTCTCCCTGACCTCTCCTCCCTCACCTGGAGAGAGTCAGCCCTGCCCTTGTTCTGCACTTGTTGCCTCCAGATCTGTTTCTCTGAGTCTGTCCTCGTGTGCCTGGGTGTCTGCACAGCGTCCGCCTCTCCTGATAAGGCATTGGTTCTGCGGGGACTGTGCAGATTTGCTCCCTGCTCTCCCCCAGCAGCCAGCACCATGCCTGGCACATGATAAGTGCTTGGAAATGTTTGGTCAAGAAGTGAACAGCTTCCTGAGGAAGTGTAGGATGTCAAGGACACAGAGAACGGTGGCATAGACTCTACAGAGAAGGCACATGGCAAGGATGACACTGGACCAGACCGTGGTCTATTTCACAGCAGATGGGGGACAGCAGCATCTTTCTGCCATGTGGTCTGGAGGACACAGGAAGAAGGGGTCTGGCTTGGCATCTCCTTGCCCAGTCAGCTCGATGATCATGAAAGATTCCTTTTGGGCTAGAGCCGTGGCCCTGGGTTCCAGACCTTCAATGTCCTGGGGTCACCAAAGGCTTCTCAACAAGCATCTGGGTATGAGACCTGCAACCTGGAACAACACTCCGGGGGTCTAGGGGGACCGCAAGCCAAGCCCCGAAGGAAAGAGCAGGCGGGCGGCTCCCTCTCACGGCAGGATGGTGTGCGCACAGGAGGCTGTGGGAGAGGAGAGAGGCGATGAGAGGGCTGGGGCCGCTCTCAGGGAGCCCACCTCTGCCCGTGACACGTGCTGGCTCACCCTCGTTTCATAAATGCTAGTCTTGGGCACCGCAGAGGGCAGAGCCACGCAGCCCCTGGTCCTCTAGCCACAGCCTCAGCGACCCGATCAGACAGAGCATCTGTGCCCTGGGCACCGCCTCTTGCTCCCTGTGCAGGGCCTGCCGGGGTGACAAGCTGATGCTGGTAGAGGACCAGGAGGCAGGCATGGGGACGCACATGCAGGCGTGCCTTCACAGTTGGCTTCAGATCTTTAAAAAGGTGGCACTGTCATCCTCTCATCTCTCCTTCCCCATGTGAGTCAGCTCTCTAGTGGGATGGGCAGGTGGGGCCAGGACGCTGTTGTCCTGGACCCAGAGCCTTGCAACTGTATTTACCGTCTTTTGGGAGAATGGTTGCACTCTTTGTGAGCTCCAACATCTCACACGTGTCTACGAATTTTTTCATGCTTGGGAAGCTGGATGTGGTCTGTCTGCCTGCGGTTGGAAAGCAGAGTCATGTCAGAGTTTCCAGGTCCGGCCATTTGGGGCTGCACCGGACCCCCACAGCCCACAGCCTCAGGGGGCATTTCCCACGTTCTCCAACAGGGCTGCTCATCCCACCCACTGGGGTGCCTGGAAGTGAGGTCATGCCCCTCCCCGACCCCGGTCACTTCCACACCACCCAGCCCACCCCCAGGCAAAACATCCTCAGGGCTCCACATCCAGCCTTTGCTGTCACCACTGCCTCTCCTCCCCTCCTCCCACTGTCAGCCTGTGGGGGGCAGCTACTTTTGCTTTCTGACTGCCCCCTTTGCAGTGGCCAGTGGCCTCCCCCACTCACCGTGCTGTGGTCACCTCCAAGACTTGCCTGTGTGGTCTCGATGTCCAGGGCCCCAAGCTCTGTCCACCCACCCCAACCCAGCCCCACGTCACCCCTGCTGCAGCCTGCACCTCCTGGGCTGTGACTGACCCCTGTGGACTGCATGTTGAAGCCCTGTGTGATGGGGTCAGGAGGTGGGCCCTTGGGAGGTAATTAGGGTCAGACGGGGACGTGAGTGTGGGGTCCTTGTGATGAGACTGGTGCCCCTGGGGGAAGAAGGAGACCAGACCTCTCTCCCCAGGCATGCGAGCACAGCGAGAATGCGGCCGTCTGCAAAGCAGGCAGAGGGTCCCCGCCAGGCCCGCAGCGTGCTGGACCCTGAGCTGCTAGGACCACGTGTCTGCGTGGAAGCACCCGGTCTGTGCTGGTCTGTGGTGGCACCGAGCTGCCTGGGCAGAGGCCTCCCTCTTGCCAATGTCCTCACCTCTGAGCTCCACCCTCCTCGGTCCCCCTCTGTCCCCTTCGGTGCCCCTCCCTGCCCGCACCCTCCACACTCGCTGCCCAGGAGGCCCAGGCCAGGGGCTGGGGGCGGCCGGACTCACTGAAGAGCAGCAGGGTCTTGGAGGAGCGGCCGGCCCGGCCCAGACGCAGGTGCACGAGGCCGGAGCTGTGGTCGGTGCACAGCACGCCAAAGCCCTCCATGCCCTTCACTGCAGGGGCACAGGGCACAGAGCCGCTGCTTGCGCCTGGACCGCCCGCCCACGCACCGGCCGCCCAGTTGGGGTCTGGAAGGGGTCGGTCGCAGAGCCACCTGATCCTTCTCTCCAGGCCCAGCCTGGGCGCACGCGCGCCATGTGGCTCTGGGAAGGTGAGGCCCGGGGACCACGGCCAGCCCGGCCACCCTGTGCTTGGGTGTCTGTCCTGCCTACCCACGTTCTCGGGGGCAGAGGGGCAGCTGGGGGCAGTGTGGTCAGGGGCATCACGTCCAGTGTCTCGGTGGCCTTAGCCAGGACTCTCCCACCCCAGGTCTTTCTTCGGGCCAGGCCATCAGACGTACGGGTGTTCCTGAACACGGCCTTCTTCCTGTCTTTCCGCAGAAGTAACGTGTGGGACTGGCACCCCTGCGACCTGCAGGGCCGGGGTGCTGAGAGCTCGCGGCCAGCGAGCCCCTTCTTGGCTCAGTTGTTCTGGAATTTTCCAATTTGGACCAGGGTTGGTGGGGTCCCATGGCATATGGGAAACGCTCCAAACAACCCCACCTGCCGAGTGCCCGTGGTTGCAGAGGCCTCTCCCAGGCAGCCTTCTCGACTTTAGGGGCAGGAAGTGATGGCGGTTGGGCTGTGGGGATCCCTGTGGGATTTCCAGACCCACCACGGGTCTGGCTGCCCCTCACCTGGGGAAGGGGAGATGCAGCCAGGGGTCTGCGAAGGGCGTGCCAGGACCCCACCCTCGCACACTCACCGGTTGAAGGCGAGGACCACCTTCAGCTGGCCCGTTTTGTGAACCCTCACCATGCACGCCCCCAGCTTCCTCTTGTCTCTGCTTGGCAAGAATCCTGGGGCATTAGAGGCGATGGCAAGAATGTACCAGAACCCTGCAAACTGCAGAGAGGGAGGGGGAAGCACAGAGGTTAGTTCCCAGCCTGGACCCCAGAACTCATGGGACGAGTGACACTTGCCTGAGGCCCAGCCCACCACCAGAGTCCACAGCTGCCCACCCCAGGCCGTGGAGGGCAGGTGCCCAGCTGGTCCGGCCCGAGGCAGCACAGGGCTGGGCCGTGGGCATTGCGTGTGAGCTGGCTTCTCACGTGGTCCTCCTGGGGGCCCATCCTTCCAGCTCACCCCTGCACCCTGCCCACTGACTGTTCCTGCCACAAACCCACGCTCCCACAGTCCGCTCAGCCTGTGCCCACGGCCGACCCCACCGGAACAGTCCACCCAGGCAGTGGTCTTGTTATTCCAGAACATGCCCTGCTCGTTCCGCCTCCCCTCTGCCCACCTGGCATCTCCAGGTGACCTCAGGCCGCACCTGTCTGGGGCCCTCCACTCTGCCCACTCGTTGGGGCTCTCGGCCCATGGAGCCCATGAACCTCCTATTAGCCTCAGGGTGCTGCCCGCTCTGTCCGGATGGCCCTTTGAAGATTTCTTCTGGGTGCCCGGGCGCCTGGCCCCGGGGACTGGGATCCCGTGACTTACCTTGTTCCAGTTGAGGTTGTGGGCCTCCCTGGGGATCTGCTCCTGCGGCTGGGACCCCACAGCCAGCACCAGTGCCAGGGCCAGAACGGGCAGCAGCCGCCCCGGCCCCATCCTCGCCCTCCTCCCTCAGCTGCCCCAATGCTGCCTTTAAATCTCCCTGCCCACCTGGCCCAGCCGTGGCATCCAGCCAACCCGGAGTCTCGGGCCAGCCTGGGGTGGGCCGACGGGGAGGGAGGGGGCTTTGGGTCCTCTCCTCCCCAGGCACAGAGGGCCGGCCCGGGCACTCAGCCCTCGGGGCAGCACAGCCGCCAGTGGGCACTGCCTGTCTGGGAGGCCCCTGAAGACGGAGCCTCTGTGCCCATTAAACGCTCACCCCTTCCCCTCCCCCAGTCCCTGGCACCATCATGCTCCTGAGGTCACTCCCTTGGGCTTGGGGTCACCAAATGTCTCTTGGAGCTGTCACACCCCTGGGCCTCCTGTTCTAACCCCCCCAGGAGAGAGGCACATAGCGCAAGTTGACAAGAGAAAAAAACAGAAGTGTAAAAACAGCAAAGACGGAAGTCAACAACCATGCAGGCAGAGGACGTGATTGTATATGTAGAAAGCCCGAGAAAATAGACTAAAAACCAACTGTGAACAATAGAAATCCAATCAGTTATAAGGATATAAACAAATTATTAAGTGAAACATTATCTTTCATACATATGAGACCAACAAACAGTTACAAGTTATAATGAAAGTCAAGGCCTTGTTTGAAATGGCAAGAAAGATCCAGAGAAAGAAACCAGCTCCGGAGAGACCAGTGGAGACACACACACGGAAGCAGGAAGAAACTACAGCGAGGACGGAAATGGAAGGGAAACAAAGTCAGAGGGAGAGAGGAGGGAAGAAGGGGGTTTGGAGACATCCCGGGGCTTCCTCTCCAAGCTGGGAATCGGCTCTCGGGTGGGCGGCAGCTGGGCCCTCAACAGGCAAGGCCTGGAGCCCAGGGCAGGGCAGGAGTCGGGCAGGAGCCAGGCAGGAGGGGTCCACTGCAGCTTCTTCGAGGGAGCAGGGCTCCCAGGGGCCCCCAGGCCCTGCATGGAAGGGCAGTGCCACACCCTGTGAGATGCCGCAAGATGCTGCTGGTCGGCCAGCGCTGGACCAGCTCCAGACGGGGGCACACAGTCGGGAACCTTCTAGCCTGAGGCCAGGAAGACTGTAGCCTTTGCCCCACGGAGGTTGGGGACAGACAGGTTTCCTCCAGGAATCTTGGCAGGAGACTAGCAAAACGTCCACAGAGCCAGGGGCTGCCCGACCTACGACACTCACGGGTCGCCTGCAGGTGGACGAGCCTGGACTGGGCCCCAGGACGGGGTGCAGGGCCCTCACAGCAAGGATCCACAGAGCTCTGACTGCGGGCGGCTCTCCAGGATGAACAAGGTGCAGGAGGCGACAGAGGATGCCATGGACTCAAGACGACAAAATGTCCCTTGAAGAGACGGTCACAGGACAAAATGAGACTGTGGAGTGACAGTACACGGTTTACACATGGAGAAACTAGGGAGACAAGGTCGAGGAGAGAGAGAGCCCCCAGAGGAAAGAAGAAGGCGGAGAGAAGAGATCTCAGGGTCCAGAGCTGAGCAGGAGGCCGCGGGTGACAAGAAAGGGCCTGGGGGACGCTGAGGGGTCCTTGCGTGCGGCTATTAGACATCCCAGAGGAGACGGGAGACTGTACAATCTCCCCAGGCTGCAGAAATCTCGCAGGCGTTGGGGAGCGCAGGTTGAAAACGCTCAACATGCTGTAAGGCATGAGAGAAGACCCGGGCTGGGCACGTCCTGGGAAGCTTTTGGGCTCCAAGAATAGAGGATGTTTAGAAACTACTGGAAAGGAAGAAAGAGCATCCGTAGACTTTCCAGAGAAGAGGAGCGGCCCCCAGGAGCCCTGCAGCCCCCAGGATGCAGGAGGGGTGTCCCGGGACACGCGGACACCGTGGAGGAGGAGAGCCGGCAGCTCTTACTGCCCCAGCGCGTCGTGGCGGAGGCCGGTGGCCGGGAGGCCTGCGACACATGGGGCTCAACCCTAGGGAGAGTCACAAAGCAAAGGGGCAATTAGGCAGCAAAAGGCACCTTGTCCAGGGGCATTGAGGCAGGTAAACGCACCCACCCCACGCCCCCACGTCTCTCTGTGTCACTCCCTAGTGGTTTTCTATTAAGGACTCATGGCTCCCCGGGTCATCCACTTCATTTACCCACAACCCAGTATACTGTGTGTCAATTTCTCCATGTGGTGGGCTGAATGGCAGTGCCCAAGATGTCCACACCCCAATCCCCAGAGCCATGTGCTGCCTCACATGGGACAAGGGACTTTGCTGATGTGAGGAAGGTAAGGATCTGGAGATGGGAGGTCATCCTGGATTATCCGGGTGGACCCCATGCCACCACAGGATCCTTAAAAGAGGGAGGCGGGAGAAAGAGAGAAAGACAGAAGAGACAGACAGAGAGAAGAGGAGGGGGCGGAGAAAGTACAAGAAGGAGAAGGGGATTCTAAGGACACGGGTGGAGGTCCAGGGAGGAGAGAAGATGCTACAAGGCCGGCTGTGAAGGTGGAGGAAGGGGCCACGAGTCAAGGAGTGCAGAGGCTTCTAGAAGCTGGAAAAGCCCAGGAAATGGACTCTCCCGGAGCCTCCAAATGGAACCCCCTGTGGACACTTTCGCTTTAGCCCCATGAGACTGATTTTGGACTTCCGACCTCCAGATCTATAAGGTAAGAAGTGTGTGCTGCTTCGAGCCCAGAGTTTGCAGTCATGGGAACTCACCCCCCGTAGCGCTGATGCTCCCTGGGCGCAGCGACTGGTCACCTGGGCTCACGGCCGGAGCTCCAGTGCACGGTCAAGTCCTTCGGTGTGCTACGCGGTCCTTCAACAATTCTGGGATGCACGGAGTCGTTGAGTCTCTTCAGCTCTCAGATTGTGGATCTCTCCAGGAGGATGGACACTCCGCCTCAAACAGGATCACTCTGAGGGCTCTGGGCAGTGTGAGACCCCAGGGCCCAGGGCTCAAGAGGCTTGGTCCACCTTGGTTGGGTCCCTCCCTCCGGCCTGGCCGGGGTTTGGGACCCAGGCCCCACTTCTCTCTCTGACGCGCTGCCCCACAGCTCTCTTCCTCTCGCCTGTCCCTGGGCCTCAAACAGCTTCAATCCCGTTGGCAGCTTCAGCCCGAGCCCCTCTGAGGCCCCTCTGAGGTCATTCTCCTCTCACACGGGCAGGGTCAGGCACAGATGTGAGCCCTGTCAACATCCAGACAGTTCACGGCTGTGCGTCCCTGGGCGTCTGGCTCTGCTGGGTGGGGACCCTACACAGAGAATGGGGACATTTATGTGATCTCAGGTGAAGAGGGCACCTCGACCACCCCTGCCCAAGCTGCCAAACCTCCCCAAACAGAGTCACCCCTCCTCCCTCCTCCCTTGCCCGAGAGCACTTGACTTGCCGTCTTGGAGATCCTCCATGAGGAGCTACGTGGGACTCGATTCTGAAGGTGCTACCCCAGGAGAGCTGCGTGCTCACTCTGGGTGGAGCTGAATTTGTCAGTGCGTGTGTGCGTACCAGAAATTCTGGATTTCACGGGCGACCTGGGCAGCCGGCGGCGGCTCCCGCAGGCTGAGAGCTGCCTCGTGGTGGCACTCAGAGGTCGAGATGCCAGAACTGCTTTTAGCATAAAATGGAGAAAGGATCCTGCATTGACCAGAGAGTCAGGAGGGAGGAAGCATGCAGCCATCCGAACACAGTTTAATAGAAAGAATTGATAATTGGTTACACAGGGGTGGGTACGAAAGGTGAAGAGAGCTGCCCAGGGTACAGAAACAGCAGGTGTCGGAGTGCCCCTCCCCGAGGCAGAGGCCGAGCACCCCGTGTAGGAACAAAGGCGGACGGGATTCAGACCTCGCAAGAGGGGGTGACCGTGGCCCCTGGAAGGCAGAGAGGTACCATGGTTGGGTGGTGGGTTAGGGAGCCCATGGAACTCACTGGAAAGCCGCCAATGGGGATGCTGCTGAACTCACTGGGTGAACGCCCCTAGGTGTCCTGTTTGCCAGCCCAGCATCACAGGAGAAAGAAGAAGGAAGAAGAAGAAGAAGAAAGAAGAAGAAAGCAGACACCCCGGAACCTGGAAGGGGCCCCTCCCTCGCAGTGCTCTCCTGCCCCCTCCACTGACGAGCCTGACACGGGCGGCTGTGGAGGAGAAGCATCCGCAGGCTGCGGCCGCGGCATCACGTACAGGACCAGGAATGTGCATTGAGACCGACGGGCATCGTCCACAAGTGGGCAGAGTCAGACGGCGAGGGACAGCACGAGGGGGCGCAGGCATCGTGTGCAACCTGCGTGCTCACGTGGCTTCCCCGATTGTCGACTTCTCATCCTTATTATTTCCCTTCTCTTACGTTGGGCATAAGTTGCTTTTTTTCTCTTAGGGTTAAGGCTTTGCCCGTTGACTTAAGCACGTCTTTTTTTCTAACAGAACCATTTAAAGCTATGAGATTTCCATCCCTGTGGCTTTGGGTTCCGTGAGATTTGAGCTCTGGGTTCCCGCGAGGGGAGGCGCAGCCACGGCACGCGCTCCACCAGACCTGCCGCGGTGGCCTCCACCAGGTCGTCGTTGGCTCCTCGTGCTGGCGGACCAGCAGGTACAGAAAGGAGTTGCTTCCTATCAGCCGGCTGATTGGCCCTGATTATTGTGAGCTTCTCGAGTTGCTGCCACTTCATAGAGGCAGAGGGGAGCAAGCCTGGAAATCGGGGGCTCACTGGAGCGCCTGCTGTGCTCCCACGCCCAGGGACCACGACGAAGCAACTGGAGGGGCCCTAGTCCAGGAAGAGCTCAGAACCAGGGCCTTGGACCCCCAGAGGTGAGTGTACGGATCAACCCCACCCCCCTGGCAAGCAACCTCAAGAGTGAATGGGACCCAGACATGGGACAGATGCCAACGACATCTCAGAAGCCATCGCAGAGCAGGGGCTGCCGCTTCTCCTGCTCATCTTCGCGCCAAAGACCTTTTCCCCTCTGAAAGAGCTGTGATGGCCACATCTGTGATGCTTCATGACAGGGGCTTGGGGCTGAGTGTGTCTGAGCAGTGTAAAGGTGGGGGCAGGCAGTAATGTGAGGGCCCCACCCTGTTCCCCAGGCTCATCCTTGCTGCGCACAGGCAGCTCCCTACTGCGAGGCCCTGTGACTCCTCGCTTGGTGGCCTTCTCTGGGTGCAGGTGCACGCTCAGGCCAGCACAGTGCAGACCAGATTGCTGGCTGGTCACGTCCCTGTGTCAGCCCTCAGCCAACCACAGGCCGGACTGACAAGTAGAACGATCTGAGTGCTCCGCGCGGGGTCGGACTCTGGGGAGCCTCACCTAGGACCCCACGTTCTGCTTTCTCTTCATCGTGACTCTGCACAAAGCTGGGTGAGATTCCCCAGATCAGCAGTGACACGCAACTCCACGAGCAGATGGAAGAATTTGGTGACTTGGGCCATTTCTTATCTGAAGCGAGCCCTCTTCTTGGGATTGTAAAGTGCAGGTCCTTTACTAAACGGCAGCAAGTTCCACTTCCCTTCATGGCCAGGCAGCTAGCACCTGTCCGAGCCTCCCCCAGGTAGCACTGTTACCTCTGCCCAGACCACGAAAACAGCCCTCTGAAGGGGACCAGCGGCAAACATGCTGTCGGTCAGTCAACACCCCGAGGAAGGTAACGGCACTTGGTGGGCTTCTCATGCTCATAGCTTTTGTCTTGAAGGCAGGCCCCTGTCTCCACCAGGAGGAGCAGATAAGCCTCTGGTAGAAACCCTGTGATCTTGCTGCCTTCAAGAACCAGAGGACAGAGTCCCGGGTGAGTAGAGCTGCAGGAAAGTGAAGGAGGAAATCCTGGAAAGCAGAGAGCTGGAGAGGGAGAGCCCCAAGTTCTGTGCATAAGCTGCCCCCATCTCAGGCTAACCCCTCAATCACGGACGCACAGGGCAGGCCCCAGGGAGCCCAGCTAAGGCTGGAAGAGCCGAACCGAGATGTGAGCTGAACTGCCACCAGTGCAGGGGAAGCAGAGCTGGCAGTTTGAGCTCAAGTGTCACAGGTCACACGTGTGCAGTCCCATGGACCAGGTCCTTGCCCCTGACCACACGACCACCAGAACCTGGCTTCGTGGGCGTCAGGCCTGCAGAAAGCCCCCAGAGGACCCTCGGCAGAGTGGCAGCACCCAACCCTCCGCCTGGACCCTCATGCCCATTGGACTGCACCACCCACCACAGAGAACCAGGACGCTGCTGGGTCCTCCCGCCCTGCCCGCCCCAGCTTGCCTACATCCTCCTCATTCCCAGCCCACCCGACGGACCCACAGACAGGCAGAGGCACCGGGAACTGCTGAAGCTCTTTATGCGGAACCAGGAGGGGGATGCAGGGCTGGGGAGGAGGGGGTGGGGGTGCAGGAGGGGTGGCAGGAGGTGACCCAGGCCCCCTGGTCAGGGGCTCCTTCTGTGTCTTGCAGGACGGAGGGTCCTGGTGGTGCCGCCTCAGGGCTGCTGTGGAGCCACGGTGCCCCCCGTCCTGGAGAGGGGGGGAGGGTCAGTGAGACCAGGACGGGGGAGGCCGGGAGGGGCTGCCGTGTGGGAGCAGGTGCCGAGGTCTGGGGGTGCTGTGTGGGGGCAGGTGCTGGGTTCTGGGGCTATCATCGGGGCAGGAGCCAGGCTCTGGCGGCTGCCGTGTGGGAGCAGGTGCCGAGGTCTCGGGGTGCCATGTGGGGGCAAATGCTGGGCTCTGGGGGCTGCCGTGTGTGGGCAGGTGCCGAGGTTTCGGGGTGCCATGTGTGGGCAGGTGCTGAGTTCTGGGGCCACCATGTCGGGGGAGGTGCTGGGTTCTGGGGCTGCCGTGGGGGCAGGCGCCGGGTTCTGGGGGCTGCAGTGTGGGGGTAGGTGCTGTGTCCTCAGGCTCTGGCCGCTGGATCTGAGGACCTCGAGGGGACCGTCCTGTAGGCTGCCCGCAGCATCCACGCTCTCGTATGAAAGTGTGTCGGGGCCACTTCCAGCCAACGGGAGGGCAAAGAGGGAACGGGGTTGCTCTCTGGGCTCTGGCTCTGCCCACCCCTGGGCAGTGACCTTGGGTAAGTCACTGAAACTCCAGTTTCCAAAAGGACATGCAGTTGGTGAGGACCCCAGGAGGTCTGAAGTACCCCGCTCATGGGTGCCGTATTTCTGAATCTTTTAAGCAGCTCATTGGGTAAACAAAGTCACGATGACTACTCAGGGGTGAGGAGGGATGTCACCCTTGCTGGCAGGCACACCGCGGTGTCAGGAGCTAAACAGTCTCCCCCAGCACCCCAGCCCCTGGAGCGCTCACTCCAGAGGGATTTCCTCACTGCCGGGCACTGCTCTGCGAGACCGAATCTGCAGGCGAGGCTCAGGGGCCCGGGCGACTCCAGGAGCAGGCTCTCCACCAGCCTGGCCGAGAGGGTCTCCTGTCCCGGTGGGAGCAGGGGTGGGAGATAGACCACACGTCCCTAATCGCTTACCCTAATCGCTTCCTGGAGAGCAGGTTTCTGCAGAAAAAAGGAGACACACACGGCTCAGGAGACCCCAGAGAATCAGTCGGGGCCGACACGTCACGTGACCCCAGGAAGGACATTTAGCGTTCTCTAAACTCGCTCTGCTGTCCGTCCCAGTGCGGGGCCCGGGCAGGATCAGGCGAGGGTGTCCTCCCTACCATGGCGCGTGAGCGTGAAGATCTTCTCCGGGTCGAACCCTTTGTCTCTCGCGAACGTCTTAAAATCCTCCAGGGCCCCCTGGTTGTTCTCCGCGTCTCTTCCTGTGGGTGAAATCGGGAGACGCGAGGGTGAGGGGCAGAACGGGGGCAGGCTAGCATCTCCAGCCCAGCCTGAGGCAGAGATGGATGGGCCGCCGCGAAGCTCGGGCAGGAGACCATGCACCCACGTTGGGGCTGGACCCCGAGGTCCCTCCGGCCGGGAGGAGGGCTCGGCTGGAAAGAGAGGACTGGGAGCTGTGAGTGCCCAGTGGGCGCCGTGCGGCAGGCCTGGGAGGAACGGGGTGCTCTTCATGAGCACACCTGGGGGTCTCCTGGAGTGAGGACGACCGGCAGGACCTGCCCAGCCACAGAGGAGAGCACTTCCCCTTGGGGGCCCCTGGACCCCGTGCCGTCCCCGCTGGACTGACTTCTGCTGCGCTCCTGGCGGTGGGGAGCATGCAGGAGAGCCCCTGGGGACCGCTTGTCTTCAGGCAGAGACAGTCCTGACGCCCCAATGCCTCCTTGAGCTCCCCCCATCCCGGAATTAAGCCCCAGGAGCTGGAATTTCCTTCCTGAGGTGGACGCTGCAAGGGGTGGTCCCTGTGAACGAGTGGCCCACCCAGTGACCTCTGTGACATTTGGATCCCTGTCCCCACAGTGGTCCTCTGCCCTCCTGTGTTCCCACTGCAGACACCGAGACTGGGAAACCCGGATCCTGAGCTCCAGGGATGGGAATGAGTGCTCCCTTCCGGAAAAGCAGTTGGAAGGAGCCGCCGGTGGCTTCTCCTAAGAGGAGGAGGCACGGGGAGGAGGGGGAGGGAGGAGGGTTTGCAGGCGCTGGGATGCGGGACCCTCACCCACGAGCTTCGCCATCCGGATCTGCTTCCCCCGGAGCTCGCCTTCACAGTAAAGAACGTAGTGGTCCATCACGTTCGACGGCGAGATGTACACCACGCGCCTGCCCTCGTCTGCGGAAGGACGGTGGCACGAGCTGAATAAGCCATGTGACCCTCCAGGAAGACCTGGAGCTCGCCTAGCGCCCAGCCTGGCGGACCCTCCAGTTTCCACATGCTCCCAGCTGCTCAGGCCGTGAGGTCTCCACCTCTTGAGGACCCAACACACCGGGAGAGCCCCATACTAGAAAGAGGGTCACATGCCCAACCAACGGACCACAGAGAGGTTTCGGGGCATGGGGTTGGAGCATGGGGTGCTCAGTCCCCAACAACCAGGTACGACTCTGCTCCTCGCCCCTGACGTGGGCACAGCCATAACCCAGCGGGGCCCCTGGGCGGTCCAGTCCCTCCTGGGACAATGTGTCCCTCCTGGCTCTTAGTGTCAAGTGATCATATCTTCAGGGCAAACTGACCAGAGGGAGAGAGGGTGTGCATTTAATGGGGTCAGAAAGGAGCGGGGCTTCTCAGGCTAAAAGGCCTCCCCAGAAATGCACAGGCTGCCCCCGGCTCCCCCAGTGTGTGGGGCGCCACCTGGCTGGGGCTCCAAGACTCACCGGCCGTGTATTTGCCGGGCTCATTGGTTTTCTCCAGCACCAGTTTCGTCTCCTGGCACTGACCCCTCACCCTGGAACACAGAAGCCACGTGGTGATGCTGCCCTGGGTGTGCCCACTTTGGAAACACAGCCAGCCCCCGTACTGCCCCTGCCTCGGAGCAGCCGTAGGGCAATGCCCATAGCAGCAGCCTGGGGTCCGAGGTGGGCCTGGTGGGGGAGCACGCTTCTCCCACCTCAAGTCCAGGCACTGGCTGGGCCTTCAGTCACGGGTGACAGCTCCCTGGGGCTCCCTCCGGGCGGGGGGTGGGGTGCAGCCTCTTCAATCAGCCAGCACTGCCCCTCACGGCCCACGAGTCCCATCTGCGGCCCCTCCCCTCCTCAGTGCCCTAAGTCTGGGGGTCTCTCCCCTGCACAGTGCCCCCGCATGAGGCACCCTCTATGGCGGTGCTCCCCCAAAGCTGCCAGGGCTGAGTGTTGTAGGAGGGCCTGAGAAGGACACCGGCGTGGTCTGCTCGCCTCACAGATGCTGGCTCTCCTGATGTGGGGAGGGAAGGCCGAGGGATGTCGCCAGCTACCAAGCCGGCTGACACTCACTTCACGGTCGCTTTGGCCTCCAGGTTGCCCCCCTCCAGGACCGTGAGGGTCATGGGAGTCACCAACTCAGGCTTCTCCCCGGGAATCTCCTGGTCGGCGGTCACGGCCTTCAGATACCATTTCCCTGAGACCTGGGGATGTTCCCTCCATCAGAGCTCCGGCCGACCCCACGGCCTCCCCCTCCTGCTCTGCAGCCCCAGACTCTACCTCATCCCCAGGGCTGGGGGCTTGGAGCGCTTCCCAGCCCACCACTCCACCCAGCACAAGCCCGGCACCCTCGCCAGACCCACCCAGATGCCGGCTCCCGGCCCCTGCAGGTCAGCGGGACCACCAGTGCCCTTGCTCCCAGGGGCCCTCTTGTGTCCTGGGGCCATCGGGCATAGACCCCTCTGTCTGACCGTTCCCTCAGGGCCAGGGGTTAATGCCTGATCCTAAAATGAGTGTCTCTGCCCCTCCCCACACCGCCTCCAGCCAGCCTGCCCCATCTGGGCCTCACGTCCGGAGTCTCCTCGCCCAAGGCCAGGGGGTCCTGGGCCTGCAGGGCAGCAATGAGGCTGAGGCCGATGGTCAGGAGCAGGGTCTTCATCTCCAGGGGTCTGTGCTCACGGCCACCTGACAGGTCACTTGCTGGGGTCGGAGAGGCTGTGCTGGCCTCTCACACAGCCGCCCTTTATACCCGCTGGCCCAGGGTCCCGCGGGAACTTGGCACAGACAATTGACAATCCCTTCCTGGCCATAAACCGTGGCCAGTTCCGCAGTGGAGCAGATGAAATGTCATTATTGTTGGACGTTGCTGAACGGCTCTGGTTAACCACGAAGGGTCATCGAGGCAGCGCCACCATCTAGAGGGACGGATCTGCAGGCAGCATCGAGGAGGGGCAGTCGGAGTGCAGGAGTGGAGGCTTCCGTGAGCAGAGGCACCGAGGGACGTGAGCAGTGCCAGCGGCCCCCCTCCCGCCTGTCACCGCAGGCTGGGCTGACCTGCTCGCTGCCAGAGAGGATGTGGGCTGGACCTTAGAGCCACAGGCTTGGTCTCAGCTGGCCCTCCTGGGTCAGGCTACTTAACCTCAGATTCAGCATCCAGAAAGAGGGACCTACTATGTGAGCGTGATGACGGGTGTGTTTAAAGAGCATGTCTACACTCCTGACAAGATGTGCAATAAGTAGTCACTTTGACACACCCTCTCTGCTCCATGTACAGAGGAGCAGCAGATGAGAGATAAAGAATGCAAACCAGGACACGTAGATGGAAATGTGAACATATGTACACACACACACATTCACACACACGTGCCACATATGCATACACATTCACATATGCCTACACGCAGACACATATGCACACAGACACACGTGCATACACACATTCACACAGACATGCATACACACTCACACACATACACACACGTTTACACATATGCATATGCATTCACACACAGATACACACATGCATACACACTCACACTCATTCACTCAAACATGCACATACATACATGCTCACACACACACATCAAATCAGGACGCAGGAGCAGCACAGCCTGGTGAGTGGGGCTGCAGCCCTGGCCCGGCAGGTGAGAGGATGTGATGTCACCTCCAAAGCAGACGGGAGACGAGCTGTCTTCCGAGCAGCGACTTTCTCTGTGAGTCCCCACACCCCCCTGTCGGGCAGCAGAACAGATGCCTGGGCCGGGGGTGGGAGGCAGAGGCTACGACAAAACTGGCAGATGGAGCACGATGACAACAAGGCGACAAAGGGGCAAGCGTGCATGGGTTCCGCATCCCGCCCGAAAGGGAGCTGGTGCCCCACGCTCCAAATCACCCACAGCAAGACCAGGTGAAGAGAGACAGGCTCAAGGTGAGCGGTCTGGACCGGAACTCACTCCGGGGAGCGGGACGAGTGAAGACACTTTAGAAGAGGAGCGTGATGAGGACGCCTGGAGACGAGACAGGACGAGAAACCGTGAAATGAGAGCGGCCAGAGCGTGGACAACGAGGAGACAGGAAATAGGAACAATGATAAACATCGAAGGTGGACACTGTAGCAAATGGAAAACTCAAAAGCCAGTGAAAGCAAGCTGCACACGTGAAACTGGCTCTTTGGGGAAAACACATTAACTAGATCGACATCTAGGGAGACTGCTGGAAACATTGGGAAAGAACAACTGAATGGCATCGGGAGTGACGCGGGACGTGAGCTGAGGCAGACGAGAGCGGCTGAGCGGCTGTGCAGGTGTGCGGATGGCAGGCAGGCCGCAGGGGTCAGCCTCGGAGACCCGGGCCGGGGGGAGAGGTGTGGTCACAGGGCGACACCGACAGCTCAGAGGGTGGAAGAGACGCCCAGAAACAGCCCTGGGTGGAGCCGGGAAAGCAGGCGCACAGCACAGCGGGCAAGAACCCTTGTGGGGAAAACACTACAGGAGTGGAACTGGGTGTCCACGCGGGAAAGACACACAAGCTCACCTCCCCACCTCACATCGCTCACAATTATTCCAGCCGGATTAAAAGGCTTACGTACGAAAAGCAAACCTTTCAAACCCTGTAAAGGAAACAAGGGCTGACACCTTTGCGGCCCAGAGACAGACCCCCCCAGCTGTGAGGGAAGCGCTGAAGGGACCACAGAGGTCAAAGGTCAGCCTGGAGGGAATGTCTGCAATGGGCGCGACTGCTGTGGGGCTTCGAGATGGAGAGCACACGGACGGACAGACGGACGAAAGAGTTAGGAAACGACAACCGGGGGAGAGCAAACGGGACAGGCAATCACGAGGAGGGGCTGGGGCCGCGGGGCTCCTGAGGGTGCTCAGCGTCACTGCCGACTGGAACCAAGTGGAGACGCCGTCTCGGAGCCCCTCTGACAACAGGCGTCGCTGGGATGTGGCTCTCGGCAGCTCTCACCGGCTGTGGGTGGGCGTGAACTGTGCCCCGAGTGAGAGTAATGGCAACCGCCAGCAACGTCGCAGGCTCGCATGCCTGGGGTCCCGCAGTTCTGCGGCCTCACACAGACACTAGACGTCCCCCTTGGGCCTCCTCCACGCTGCAGCCAGGTGCTCCCGTGATCACGAGATTCTGTCAATTTGTGGAGCCATCTCTCTCCTCGTGTTCAGGGGCCGAGGGCAGTTTTGGGTTCAGTGGGACGTGTAGAGGGTAACGGTCACTGTAGTGCCGAGCTGGCTTCCCGTGTCGTCTTGGTTTTCGGGAATATTCCTGCCGCTGCTCTGGACTGACGCACATGGCGTCCTGACCCACCTGTGTCGGCTACGGGTCACAACTCAGAAGGCACATGAGCGGTGGGGGGAGACACCAGCTTCATTCTGCGCGAAGCCCGAGGCGAGTGTGCGGTCAGTTCCCTCACGCCCCCGGGGTGGACGCCTGTGAGCCGGGTTCAGTTCTCAGTGAAGTCTGGTCAAACGCGAGCCCGCTCTGTCCCAACTGCTTGACGGTGCAACGTGTGTCAACGCACCACACGCTTTTATGCTGTTTAGATGGAAACCACGCAAAACAGAACTGATCAGAATTCTTATTTATGGACCAAAGACCCACAGCAGAACCACAGTGAGCACATACATCCGTGTCGGAAGTTACGTGTCTTCTGCATCCCAAGATCAGTGATGAAAAATGAATTTCAATCCCCCGTGCGGGGCAGAGTGTGAGTTATCTTTACGGGAATAGTGGAACAGCAGTTTCAGAGGAATCAGGAGCAGCGGCTGAAAGACCAGGAAAAGGAGGTTTCTAGAGGTGGGCCGGGCGGCAAGGAGTCGGAGTGGCTGGTGGTTCCTGGATTTGGTGATGTTCATGGTACTTATCAGCTTTGTGTGTGTGTGTGTGTGTGTGTGTGTGTGCTCTGAGCTAACACGTGTGCCCATCTTCCTCCGTTTTGTATGTGGGACGCCGCCACAGTGTGGGTTGATAGGCAGTGCTGCGTCTGCACTCGGGATCCGGAACCTGCAAACCCCAGACCGCCGAAGCAGAGCACGTGAACTTAGCCACTCTGCCACCGGACCAGCCCCCTTATCAGCTCTTTAAATATGTGAGTTTTCTGAGTCTTTTTCTCACTCCAAATAAATATTTCTCATATCTATTTTGGTTTCATAATTTTTATTATTTTTGCTCTAAACCAGTCTGTGCCAGTTTGTCCATGTGGAGCCTCCTTGTCTCCTGACTGGCCCCCAGAGGCTCCACAAGTTGACCCCGTGACCCCCGCCTGCCTGAGTTGGGGCGTGTTCGTCCACCTCCCTGTCCTGCGTCCGTCCAGCCTCTGCTGTCGTCCTGCCAAGCCCAGAACAGCCGCCACCTCCTGGGAAGAAGGGCCTGACCGCCCGGCCTACAGCTGCACCGCCCTGCGTGTCCCGTGTCACAGTGCATGGTGCGTGTCGTGAAGGACCCTCGTCACTCGACGGTTCAGATCCTGGCCTCTCCCCACCTCCTGGGCTCACTCGCTCCCCCAGGGCTGGGCTCCCAATGGCCTTGAACTTAACCCAGCCGAGCCGAATCGACTTAGCGTGAGCTGATCTGCACTTGACCGCAGAGCCCAGGGTGCGGCCGGGAAGCCGAGGGCCCTGTGTTTGCCCAGGGGTCTGCTTTCAGGAGAGGTTGTGCTTGTTTGCGTTCCGGCTCTTTCTTCTCCTTGAGCTCCTGCAAGGCCCTTGGCTTGTCAGAACACAGGAGCCCTTTGTACCGCCAGTTTGTTCCGTGTCACGGTGAATGTCACACAAACAGGAACGTGCCTGGAGGCCACCTACACCCGTGTCCTCCCGCCTCGGCTGCCAGGTTGATGGCAGTAGACGTGGCCTCCTGCAGAGGCTTTGCCAGCCTTCCGCTCCTGCTCCGCCAGCACAGAGCTCCTCGCAGCCTCATCGCAGAAGGCGGATCCCAGGGAACGGGGATTCTGAAGGCAGCCCTCACCCAGGGTTGGCGTCTGGGAGCCACGTCGGGGGCCCTGGTGCGGTCAACACAGGGTCCTGGCAGGACGGCCTCGGCCAGCCTGGGCGCCTTCAGCCCGCAGGGGTGGAGGGGCCTCACCGTGAACACGCTAGGCTGGTAGCCAGGCTTTTTCCTGGGGGACTGGACCCCTTGCTCTGCAGCTGGGAGCTTGAGGGTCAGCCCGGGAACCACCCCTGAACTATACTGCAGGGTGACAGCCTGTGCGCTTTCCCTGACGACCCTGGGAGTCAGGACACAGAGCAGCAGCGGAGAGGGAGGAGTCACAGCAGGGGTCTGAAGGGCGCAGCCTGAAACTGCCCCGCTCGCCTCCTGGACGCTCGGCCCAGCCGGCCCCCAGGCCTCGGGCCCTCCGCCCCTGGAGCAGCCCCCCACCCCCCACACAGCTGCTGGCGGGAGGCTGAGGTGTGCAGGTGGGGCCCTGAGACCGGCCTGAGAGGAGGCCCCACCCTCCGCCTGTCTACATGAGCGCCGGCCCTCCCCCAGGTGAGCTCCAGGAAGCCCCTCCCCGGGCTGGCGCTGCACAAACATCCTGTGGTTGGAAAGTGCTTTCTGGGGAAAGGCACGGAGACGCAGACAAAGATTTACGGATAAAACCACTTATGCCAGTCTCGTAATCGTGAAATTTAAAAACGACCTAAATGTCCGAGATATGGGAATGCATGAGTAAATAACGAGGTAGCCACAGGGTCGAAGTTTTATAGTGTCTTTGATCTTTTGC